TAAAAATAAACTCTCCACTTTCATGGCTATCCCCAAAGTACCAAATATAGCAGATCTATTACATTGCCAATTTCTATTCCAAAATATTTTTTCTTCCCTTAAATATATCTTTTTTACCTACTTTTGTGTCTACTATATCTTCCTGCAGTGTACCTGCATGCTAAAGTTCTTCAGGCTTTATTTGACTTTACTGGCCAAATTTCAGCATAAAGCATAAACACAACAACTAAGCCTCATACCAAGTTATAAAGTTACAATTAAGCCAGCCACTGTTTAGCAATTATTTACTATTAAATGTTTTTTACTTTCTCAGCAACTTCTACCCCAGTTTTACTGTTCTCTGTATTACAGCTAAGTTGGGGGTTCAAACCAGTGCTCTGCTTACACAGTAAATAAAATCTGACATGAAAAAACATTAAGATAATTAAAAAGAAACTTATTTTGTAAAATGTTCCTTTAAAAGTCAAGTAAAATTCTCACAGCATAAGATACTTGACCAACTTGAATCTTTAAGAGGTTTATTCATTACGTTTACAAAGGGCACCTTAAATAAAACAAATGAAAAGGGTATATATTTCAATTTTTAAATATATAATGTACATGATATTGATGAATACATGAAAGTAAATAAATAAATAAAAAACTGAGCATCTTTACCATGAACATTCAAGTTTATATTTATTCAGCGACACTACTGAATGATAAAATGTGTAATTACACATTTTACACTAATTAGGTTACACAGAGTAAATATTCACCAATTATTGCTTCCTCTCCCCTCCAGAAAGAGTACATTGGTGAAAAATGATTCTCCTGGATCCTTGCAAGTGCAGCTTTTCTGCCATCAGAAAGCAAAGATTCCTCCCTTGGAAGATATGGACACCCATAGCCCAGCAGTAGAAAAAATCCAATTGCTAATCCATTTAGTTGGTGAAGTATCAATAGTTCACAACCGAAATCTCAGACTGTAGCTCATAACATACTCCATCTCTAGATACAGTTCTCTCTGAAAATGTTGTAGTGCCTTAGGTAAGCTTTTCTGTTACTAGATTTATTTCTTGTAGGAAATGCTAAATGCTAACAAGAACAAATAAACTCTGGTATTGAAATGACACTCCAAATGTTATAATGGAATATTTGAAGAATATTGAATACTGAAGACTATTTCATCCCTCACACTCTTTTATAATCTCCTATGCATGTCTGGTCCTGCTGACATTGCAGTGACTGTGTGCGGACTTAAATTTATCCACAGGTTTACATGTCTCAGAACTGCCATTGCTCAGTATTACTGATGTCTCAACATACTATGCTACCATAATTTATTACACAAAAGATTCTGGAGATCCAAAGTAAAAATATGAATACAGTCAGGCCTTCCCTCTCAAATTTGGTCTGCGAAGAGTATAGATTAAAAACAGAATACTTGCATTTACATAGCATAAAGCCAAAAAGAAGAGGTGAACGTGAGCATTAGTTGGCCACATCTGTGCAACTCAGTAATGAACATAACTAACTTTTCTGCTTTGCACTTAATAGCCTTGTAAACTTTTGACAAATTACATAGACTAAGCTGCTTCTAACTACACTAATGATGATAAATGGAGAAGGAAGAATGACAGAGGAGTACTGAAACAAAAACTACTTTAAACAGCCAATCAGAAATTTGTCCTCAGTGAGACCCTTTTTAATACTAATATAAACTTAAGAACCTAAATAATCCTAATAGAAATTTTTCTAGTATAGGGAAACCAGTAAAACATTTCCCATACAGACACGTTCTAGCAAAGTTATCTCCTCCTTACCATCTCTTCATCCTCCAGCCAGCCACAAGCTGTATCAGTTAAAGTATCATTTCACCAACATGATTACATCAACAGTAAAGAGTTTCCTTCTCCCACCACTGGGTCACCACTTGGACTTCACCTCCACAGCTGTTTATATTACATACTGCCCATGACAACAGCATAATTTTGCCACAGCCTAAGACTACAATAATTGCAGTAGTGCATGTTATCAATTCACTTCACAAGGTATCACAAACAGGAAAATGAGTTAAGTGTGGTATGATCTGCATTAACATTTCCACACAAATCTCACTTACCTGCTGTCCCTTTCTTATACATAACAATTTATTAAAGAAAATATGGCTTATAGTAGTTGGTAATTAAGTAGCCTTAATTTAACTGCAGAACTGCCTCCTTAACAGAGTATGCACACAAAATGTGTCTTCCCATCCAAATGGATGAAAAGTTCTCTCTCCTGTCCACCATTACCACACAAATGGTGATGTACTTTTCATATGAACTACACACATCACAGAACATTACATTCTGCAATCCGACAAAAAGAATTGTGGTCTCGGGATTAGGGCTTATTTCCCATTTACCTAAGCAAATACTCTGTTCCTACTAACTTCAGTGGAAACTGCGTGTCCTCTACGCAAACTATTTAGAAAAAACGATGAATGGCCTTCAGCTTTTCAGCCATAAAGGAAACCAGATTTCTACCACAGTGAGTTCACAATAAATATTTCTACCACTGACAGCGCCCAAGAGACTTGGAAGCCTAACTCCCAACTTTTATTGGAAGTTCAGTCTCTACAGCTGCTCTGACTTTAACAAGAAGTACTGCAAAACAAGACAGGGTTTGGACAGAGAAACAGCTGGTGCAGAGACCCCATGCCCATGAAACACCTGTTGGGGGTGGGGGTGGGGGGAGTTACTTCAAATGAGCTTTAGTCTGGTCCCATTGACTGCACGCTCATTAGTAGCCAGACGAGTTCCTAGAGAAAATCTTCCACTTTAGTTCCATCCACAAGGAATCCAGTCTGTGTGCCCCAAGACCACCTCACAATGTGAAACAAAGAAGGAAGGGATGACTGCACAATCTGCTTCAAAAGTACACTCCTGGTCTGAACTAAAATGCTAATATAGATTCATCCTACGTCTTTTAGGTGCTTGTGTAGTTTTTACGCAACACCTCCCAAGGCTGAACACACAGGAGTAAGCCTTCAGTTATCAACAGAACAGAGAAAAATGCAAATTTTTATACCTCAGAAAAGCTGGTCCTAGAACCCACAAAAGTTTTAAGAAAAGGGAACCATAAACCTTAAGTGAGAGGATCTAGCCTCCAGATGAAGAAGTAACCATACGAAAAAGCCCAGTGATGGTTCTGATGGCATATGTGAAATAAACACGAGGGTCTCGACATTGGCTCTAGCCTAGGGTTGTCCCCCTCACAAAATCAACCACCACAGCTGCTCTCAACAACAGTCTTAGCAGATAGGCCAAGGAAAAGCTCAGAAGTTGTTTTCTCAAATCAATACTGAAGTACACTTTCTTCTGAAGGATTTAAATCCTCTGAATTATCACGTGAACCCTGTTCACCAACATTAACCAGTATGAAAAACCTTTCACCCTCCCGTGTGCAGCCCTCCTGTGCACAGACAGAGAACGAGTTAAGTAACTCCTGCCCTCCTCCTTTTCCCCGTATCATTTACTTGGATCATTCTGATCCACATTTTGAGAAATGAATTCATTCTTTGGGATGCAACTAGAAATATATGCAGAGGGAGAGTCTGCTCTTTAGAAGGAGCTGAGTGCTTACTGCTTGAACATTAATATTTATCTTATGTCTCAAACTGTTGCATTCAAAATTAAAGACATTACAAATTCTTTAAATTTACTGAAGTGACTGAAGACTGACATACGTCAAATTTGGGGCTTACGATCAAATACTGTAGACCATTACCTTAAGATATTTTTTATTTTTTACAGTAAATGCAGTTTGATTGTTAAATGAAGGTAAAACGCAATCTTACAGTCACTTTCTCAAATGTACTTGTTAAAAAATGTAAAAAACCAGAAAACACATTGGATCATTTACCATTTTTCATGGTTCTGAGGATAAACATATGGAGAAAATAAGCTACTCGGTAGATCTTATTTCACTCCAGTGTCTGTCCTTTTATTCTCCCTGTCACAGCCAACTCGAGAATTTCCTCTTCCATGATAATAAGCAGAAAGTTCACAGATCTCAAAGCAGCAAAGCAGGAAGTTTGCAGTTTGAAGGATTTCCCCTCTTTGACCAGGCAGGGGAGGAGAAAAAAGAATGTGGGGGCTATTGTGAAAGATCTTCTGCAAAATTAAGCAGATTCGGACATGCTTATCTCAACAAGGCCCTAAAGTGATGCTACCGACACCGTGTACAAATGGGAAAGAAATGTTGCACACATCGTATGTAAATTATTATGCTTCTTTAGCTTTTTCAGCAGATAGCAAAAAATCCTGCTTTTCTGATGAAGCTATTACCTGGCACAAACAAACTTATCAACAGCGATAGCAGGACACAGAGGGAAGCCAAAACCGCTATGACACAGCTCTCACCAAAACATGCTTTCTTCCCAGCTGAGCTCTGTATCACAAGGCAGGACTGAGTGCCACATGTGGCTTTAATGCCAAGCAGCTGCTGCACACCAGCACCCGCTCTGCTCTCTCCCTCACCCCCTGCACTACTGTGTTTCAAAGACCATTGTAAATAATGAAACTGCAGCAACCTGTAATGAGCGCAAGCCCCAGCATCCGAGACAGACCTGAACCCAAACACATTTCCCCCTCAGTCTCCATGCCCAGAGAGGTGAGATCATCGGTGCAGGCTCTCCGAGGAGGGCGAGGGGGGTGCGGGGAGGGAGGGGGGAAGGCCCCCCCCCCCAGCCATTTCAAAGCCTGCTAGTCTCCCTCCCTTTCAAGCAAAAATAAGCACCCAGCACAGCTCCGTGGTGGAATACGGCTTTCCTGGCTGAGTCGCGCCCCGCGTCCGGCCGTCTCCCCCACCCCCACCCCTTCCCAAGAGGCAGCCGGGCTCGCGTAGGGCCGCCCCAGACCCCCCACGCGGGTGCTCCCTTTCCCGAAGGGCAGCACAGGGGCAAGCGCAGCTCCCCGCGGCTGTCCAGGAGCAGCTGCACATGGGAGGGCAAGGGGCACCTCGACTCCACTCACCGATACCAGGAACTCCAGCGTGCCCACATAGTCCCGCTCGGTCTTAAGCAGCTCATTGAGGACACACACACGCAGGCGAAGCTGCTTCTCCAAGTCCTTCCCGCTTTCCCCCTTGCTATCCCCTTTGCTTTCCTCTGTCATGGTGTAAGGAGTAGAAGCGGTGTTCCCAGGCCAGTGCTTTGCCTGGCTCCTCTCCCGGCGGCAGGCAGCGCTGAGCCCCCCGGCACTTGGCTGCAGAAAAGGACAACAAAAGACCCCACTAAGTTACAGAGCAGGGCTGGGCTCTGGCCCGTCCCAAGCCGCACAGCAGCCTCAGCCCTTTCTCACCCAGCTCCAGCAGCTGCCCGAGGTCCGGAGGCAAAGAGCCACCCTAGCGCGAGCTCCTTTCCCGTCAGGAAGGGGACACAGCCTGGAGGAAACGAGCGGTCACTGGTTCCCAGCTCGCCCTGTTTGCTGAGAGGTTGGAAAGCCTCCGCAGCAGCACAGACTTGGACATTAATCAAAAGCCTTGTATCCATGTGACTCCAACCCCTTCCCCCCTCCGCTAAATCTCAGGAAAAAGGAAAGGAAACAACTTCAGGGAAGATTGCGTGCCAGCAGCTGCCTGTTTCACACACAAACTGTGAGCTCTAGTTTGAGGCTAATTGGAGATCTCCAGCAACAGAGCACAAGAATTATAAAAATGTCCCAGCAAGCCGGCTAGCCTGGGAATCAGCAGTGTTTTTGTTTTGTTTGAATAATCAGCCAAAGAGCTATTTCAACTGCTCCTTCCACACGCTCCCATAAGATGAGTATCAGAAATACACTGATGTGCAACCATGCATCACTAAGACATGTTTTGATATTTTTCTGAACACATATAGCTGAGTATGGGTATGTGCTAGGCAGGTTCAAACAGTACATTCTAGAGTAGATACAGATAGGCTCCTCTAAGGTGAGTTTTTGTGTTGTTGTTTTGTTGTTGTTGTTGAAAAAAGGTGGTATAAAATCCATCCAGGTTATATGGCTTTCTTTTCTGCACTGGAAGTTCAGATTTGCATGATACATTAAGAAAGTTAAAAAAAAAAAAAGTCTGTCAGTAACCATTTCACAAACACTGTAAGCAAGCAGTGTACAGCTATGCTACAGAAGAAGTGATTTCTTGAAAACTGAAATACCTCAGGACGCTGTTGTTTGAGTTTTGAGTTCTTTAATGAAAGTTGAAGGTTTCTCTGGCCAACTCTTAAATCTGTTACTGGAAGAAAAAACAGGTATTCAACTTCAAAGATTCCATATCCAAGTCTACCTTTCTAAACCTACAACATCCTAAAGGGAAGGAATGAGTGAAAACTAGGTTATAGCCTAGTTCTACAGCCACAACACAAGCCTGGGCAGCAAGAGGAATCCTTAGTAGGAGACAAGCAGCAGAGACTCATTCATATTCTGTTATTTTAGACTCATCATCTAGCTGTCTGCCTCAGACATTGATGGGGAAATAGACAATACAGCTCTCACAAGATGTTTCTCAGAGAGCTGAAATAATAAAACTTGTTTCTTTGAATTTGTGTCTTACTTCCCCATATTCCCCTTTCCCAAACACACACAGCTCCCTCTTGTCATACTTAGGCAAGAAGCAGTAGTTACTGTGACTGGTTCTGCTACATGTATCATAGTCAGCCATTAGGTATGGATAGGGCTAGCTCACCTAATAAGCTCCAACTGTAGGCCTTCTGTCAAGAGGAGTTCGGGACGCCATTTGAAAAGCAACCAGTGATTTTTGTTAAAAGCAGAACTACATTTTTGAGGACTTCACTCCTCTGCCAAATCCGGTTGAAATGGAGCAGTGGGTTCAAAACCAACCGGGACAGAAAAGCCAACACAGTCCAGTCATTTAAGCTTGCTTCCTTAGGAAACCAGCCTAAAACAGAGAACCTGCCTGAGAATTAGCTCGAAATTTTCTCAGCTGCTGAGATAGGCTCAACCAGTGAGGCACAGAAGCCAAGTCCCAAAGCTCTGTGGCATCTGTCCTGATCCTATGGAAGAGATCTTCATCTCATAAGCACTAGCAGCAAGAATCCTGATGCGATGGTGGAAAGGTAAAAAAGCAATTCACTGAATCACACATGGCATCAGTTTTCTCAAGCGATGACCAGCAAAAAGAGATCAGAAACCACCTGAGTATAGAACACTAAGCCACCAATTTCCCGATCCTGGACACATGCAGGTGCCCTTTCTCAGGCAGTCCTAGCCAGAGCCCTCAAACTAGTTACCTTTCCTGTCTGCCAGTACCCTCTTTTCCCTTCGGGAGCATGGAGATAGAGACCAGTACAGTTTCTGATTTTGAAATCCCCTTTGTTTTAGCCAGTGCACCATTCATTTTCACAATCCATAGCCACATTTGCAGACCTAAGTAAAGGCTAAGGAGACAAGAACAGTACCACAGTGTTTTTTTCCCCCTCATCAGCAATAGCAGTAAGAATCCCCTTCCTTCAAACATTCGCCATCTCATTCTCAAGAGACCTTAAAACCTAAATGATCTTTGTCCCAACTTACACTTCTGCTGCCCTCACACATCTGATTCTTGCTCCTTCTGTAGTTCAGAAAGATGGCTCCAGCTATTTAGGCCAGCAGGAGCATCACTGACAACGCAGAAGAGAGTTTTATGGCTCGTTTAAGTCCAATGAACACAGCATGGCGCCCATAGCAGATGTGCAATGACAGGGAAAGTAGCTCTAAATACCAGGTAGAATCTACGGAAAACATACCTGCTTACAAAGCTTAGCCAATTTTCCTGGCAATCTGCATGAAAACTATACTATAACTATAGAAAAGGGTAAATTACTCATTTTCCCCCAGTTTGAGGAAAAAGCTGAATAGCTACAATAGCTCCAATAGGAAAAAAAGAATAAACTGAAAGGAAGGTAGGACATACACACAAGATGAAAAGTTTCAGCCCAAACAACATCTGACAAAAAGTTAGAAACAACTAAAAACCACATTTTATACCGTGATTATCAGGAAACCTGTACTGAAGCAACTACCTTGCTTCAACACAGAAGGTGTGTAAAGTTAACTAAGTAAAATAATATATTGATTATGCCAGCATGTGAGGCACAGCAATAATTCTTGCTCGCAGGTTTGGAGAAAATGTAAAGATAAGATTCTTCTCACTGGATAATGCAACACTGCAGTGTCTTTGGAGTGCAGCAAGAATTACTTTTTTCCAAAGGTACTTAAGACCCCAAGTTTGAATCCTATTTCAAGAGCCTTGTTGAAAGGATATGGTGCCACGCAACCCATGTAAAAAATGTGTGATTTCCTGACCTGTTCTGTGACTTGGTACAAACTTCCAGACATTAAAAGCCTTGTTTGTGACACAGATTGTGGTACCTAAGCTTCACGATCTGCCAGGACATTTGCGTACTCTATAAGAAAACCACACTGGATCTGCTTGCTTCGGTATTGCTACTGAATGATACTTGGTTATCACTGCAAGATAGTTCCAGTATCACAGGTGAATGAAGCCAAGTGTACTACAGGGCATGTTATCTTGTATCATAGCACTGTAAAGAAGGACTCTTCAGTCCAGATGGGAAATCCAAATTGCCTTCTCTCACAGAAAGCTGAAAAAGTTTCTGAAGCTGTATGAGTAGATGGGATTGCTCACTGAGCAGGCTGTTTACTAGCACTGAAGACTTTTCTCCCTCAAAGCTTTCTCCCGAAGGAGGAAAAACAGAGCGCAGACTAACACAAGCCAGCCATTTCTACTCCTGGTGCTGAAAATACGCTTGGGTTTTCTTTCGTCCAGACAATCTTGGCAATGCAATGATTTCTCCCTCTATAACCTGCCTGCAATGGCCCATGCAATAAAGAAATAAAAAGTTACTTTCTTCCTTTCCTATGAATGAATATTAGATATCAAAGCTAGAACTAGCCTCTTTTCCCCTAATGTTCTTCACTATTGTTTACCAGAATTACCAAAAAAAAAAAAAAACAACGGGAAAGATCCATTCTAAGAAATGTGATTAATAAGCAATGCTTTAAAAGTCCACCTGAATAGAAACAGTTTGTTTACAGATGGCTCTAACACCCTATTAAGCAATGAAAAGATTAATAATATCTAAGGAACTAGCTGCAAACTGCTCAAGAACAAAGTGTTAGGGGTGAGTGAATGGAGGAGTTCACATCACTTCTATAACACTGCTCTCTGTCTGTTCATTCACCACACTAAACCATCTTTACAGACATAAGTATTAAATAGAAATCCTTGTTTGTACAGAATAGATCAAAATAATAATCAGTTTTGTAATCTTCTTTTATGTCATTTTTAAAGGAAGATGGAGGTGTTTTAATCACAAAGACACAGAAATGGTCCCCAAGCACTCTAAGTTTGTGGAGGCAGTGCAATATAAATATTAACGTAAGGCTTACAGTCATCTCATACAATCAAAAGATTTCAAGTGTTCTGACTAACAGTTGGGCCCACAAAAAACAAACATTTTTACCCTGCTACAATATTAAAATATCAGAGTATGAATCCACTGGGCTTGGCCACATAGTTTTTCACAAGCCGCTAATAATGGCGCTCATGCAAGACTTTCAACCTTTTTTTACTCCCACCAGCACAAGGGACAGAGCAAGCATCTCGGCAGCAAATGCAAGCTGAACATTCAGCATCCTTAGAACGTCAAGAACTACCACATAATCCAAATCTGATTTAGCCAAAAATAAATCTAAAGATATATATTAAGTTATAACTTTTAAGAAAATGGGTGACTAGTCATTCACTTGAAGGAGTGTATTTGACTTTTTCTGTAAGAATCAACTGATATTTAAGAATTATTGCAGCAAGACGTCATGGAAATCATAATTGCAAGTAATCACCTCAGACAAAAAGTAACACAAATTCATGTTAAAATCTCCTCAAGCAACTCTAATAAGATCATTTAGGAAGAAATTCACCATCCCTGGAGCCAGCAGGATAGAGTATGAATGGTGTTCACTAGGTTCAGCGCTAACTTAATGTACCTTGATGAATGCTGTTTAAACTAAAACCTCACCTTGCATAATATATTTCCGCAGAAGGACAGAACAGACAGCAAGGGACAGTTACTCTAGCTAAGAAAGACAAGTCCCTTCTGCCCACACTACCAACAACCCTGAATGCATCCACAACAAGGGTCCCTCTATGTGAACACACACTCTCGCACATGGCCTCAGACTTCCCTAACACCATAAGCAAACACGCAGGTTGACACACACACCACCAGGGACTCCACGCAGCCCACCCACCCAGGAATGACAAGGTTCTTCTGGCAACACTAGCAACAACCACCTACAACTCCCAGCCTGCAGCTTCCTACAAATCCACTGAGCCCCCCCACACCTTGCCAGAACCCCACAACCCCTAACAACTCTGATAAGCCGAGCACAGCTCTGATGCTGCCTCACACTGCACCTCT